TTAATGCAGAAGAAACTTCAATAGTAGTCTCATCTATAGGTCATGGCTAGCGTTTATAAACCTCCCACTGGTGGGCACAGTAGTAGTACCAGTGTTTAACAACTCCCACTAGTAGGCGTCAGTAATAACCAATGTTTAACCCCATTGGCAGGGTTACAGAAGTACCAGTGTTTAACAAACTCCCACTAGCAGGCGTCAGTAATTACCAATGTATTATCCCATTGGCAGGATTACAGAATGGACCGGTCATATCAGTAAACATGTCGACATGTGCTAGCGTTTATAAACCTCCCACTAGTGGGCACAGTAATATATGACCATATCAGAGACAAAACCATGCAGGATTTACAAAAGAAATCCGTAATTCACAATCGAAATCCGTAATTCACAATCAAATCTCAAAATTTTAGAAATAAACCGGAAAATTTCAGTGGGCATGCTCAACTTCAGAAAAACAATGAAATTCTCATTTTCATTCCAATCATGCTCAATTCCAAAAAAACAATGAAATTCCCATTTTCATTCCAAACATGCTCAATTCCAGAAAAACAATGATTTGCATAAAAATCATTACAATTTTCATTTCAGTTTAATCACACTCAGATGCTAATAAAATCAATTTAAACCTTGCTACCATCTCAAAAACAATTTGAAACATGCTTTTAAATCAAAGGGCATTACCATAATTTACTTACCTCACTCGCATAAAACCGAAGACTCGATCTCAGTGCTAAACTGACAGAATGATCAGAAACCTAATCAAAATATCCAAGAATTAATACCTCACTAACACAATTTCAAATTGAAATCATCATTAGCACTACCCCTAATCACAGTGCTACTTCTATCAATCTCCACATGATCGGACATCTCCAAATTCGTTCTTATATTACAAACTAAACATTTAAATCCTCGTTAATTGTTAACCCTCGGTGTGTGAACAGTGCTCATAAACAGTACTCATGAACAGTGATCCCGCCGTGAACAGTGCTGCAACTTCCAAAAATTAGCAAAACCATAGCTAATCTCACGGGATTTTCACACAAAACATCACAGCAATCAATTAACACTCAATCACATAAATTCCATTTGAATTAATGCTTAAATTTGGTCCTAAAGCTACCGGAATTCCTCCCATTTTTCCAGCAAAATTCAGACAACATAGGCAGCAATCAATTGATGAAATTCAAGCTTGGAGGAGCTGTCAACATACCAGAATTTCCACAGCAAAAACAGGACTGTAGTTTGGGGGAAGGGCTGGCGGGATCTGCAGGGAAACTCACGGAAATCTACCCAAAAATTGGAGGAAATAAAAGCAATTAAATTAAACCCAGCCTAAATCAAGGTTAAAGAGATGATTTCTTGGCTGAATCTTACCAAAAAACCAGAGCAATTCGCACCCCCATACAATAGAGCAGCAGCTGGAAGTAGCAGAGCAGAGCAGATCCGGAATTTTGCAGATGGGGGAAGGATTTCTGGGTTCTATGCTTGTTATTTAACAAGAGAAGAAGAAGAAATTTCAAGTTTTTGCCGAGTTTCTCTAGGGGAACTATCGCCAGCTTGGGGGGCGGGGCTTGTAGCTTCATATCTTCACGTGCATGAAATCTGGGAAGTTTCCATTCTCCTTTACTTATTTGGTGTGTTTGGTAACATGAATTTCATACAGTGTATATACTACTATTTGTTTTTACATAAATAAAAAGTGATTATATTTAAGTGAAATACATGTATTTCATCAAAGTAATTTAGAAGAATAAAACCCATGTATTTCAATTTCACCCACGAACCCATGAATTTCAATTTGAAAAGGAATTTCCTCTCCACTCTCTCCTTTCACCGACGCGATGAAGCCTCCATCGTCCGTCATCATCGACTTTGCCGCCGCTCTCTGACCTCGTCGACCACTCGATTCCAGTTCCGATTCCGATTTTGAGGTCTGCTTTTCTGCCTTATCTCACCGCAACTAGTGCTCGCCGCCTTTCTTCTCCTTCTCTCCGATCAGTAAGAATTTTCAAATATTTCCATTTTTGCTTGGTTCTTGACTTCTTTATTTTCAACCAAGAAGATCCACAATCTATGCACCATACACCGCAACGTCAAAGAAGCCCTTCACCTCCTCGACTTCCTCTGCCTACATGGCTACCTCCTGGATTCCCTTAATCTCAATAACATTATTCACGCCCTTTGCGACCCCAACCGATTCCCAGAAGCTCACCATCGTTTTCTTCTGTCCTTAGCTTTTGGTTTAGCCCCCGATGAGTACACTTACAATGTAATAATTGCTCGGTTACGAGATTCCAGAACCCCACAAAGCACATTTCATGTTATACGGTCTCTACTTGATGTAAAGCCTGAGTCTGTGCCTTCTTTGATTAGCTATAATCGTTTGATCGACCAGTTTTGTACGGTTTATTTTGTAAATGTGGCACATATGTTGTTTTTTGATATGACAAACAGGGGTTGTTGTCCTAATGCTGTTACGTATACTACTTTGATAAATGGGTACTGTAAAATTGGTGACTTGGGCACTATGCACAAGCTGCTCGACGAAATGCGTGAGTGTGGTGTGGTGCCCAATTCGCTCACTTATAACGTGTTGATTCACTGGGTGTTTAAAAGGCGAGATGTTGCATATGGGAGGGAGTTGATGCGCAAGCTTTGGGAGAGAATGAAGGACGAAAATGATCCCAGTTTAAACACTGCGGCCTTTGCCAATCTCATTGATTCTTTGTGTAGAGAGGGGTTCTTCAATGAAGTTTTCAGGATTGCAAAGGAAACACCTCAAGGAATGAGTGTGAATGAGGAATTTGCTTATGGGCATATGATTGATGCTCTTTGTAGAGCTGGAAGGAACCATGGTGCTTCAAGGGTTATCTATATAATATTAAATTTAACTAATAAGTAGGAAAAAAATTTTAATTTAATAGAGAAATTCAATTTTAAATACATAATATTTTAAAATACCCAAATAATGTATTTTAAAATACATATATTTTAAATACATGTATTTTAATTACAATTATCAAATTCAAATTCAAGTTCTTAAACACAACCATTAGGAATTTGATCATTTAGTATCAAAGAATTAAATATTCAAGAATTAGAAATTCACAAGTGCCCTATTTGAAAAATACGAAATCTAAAAAATAACACCATTGTAATGAAATTTAAGTTCATGAGTATTGTCTTTCGGTTGAGCACAAGTTTGTAATGAAAAGTTTAGAAGAAATATTTAATAGCACCTAAAAAGCACATAAAAAAAAAAAGAAACAAGAAAAAAAAAAAGGAATAAGAAAAAGAAGCCAATATAAAAGAGTGGTTAATTTCTACTCCAATGTTTCTAGTTGCTTAGTAACTAGGGGTTAGGCATGAGACCCATGTTAGTTTTCACGTCAAGCGGTGACTTAAACTATGAGTATGCAAAGCACTCTAAGTTTATGATTTGTTGAGTAATTGGGTGCTTTTATCACAAATGTTAGTATGCGCGTCAAACGACAAGTTTTCACGTCAAACGGTGACTTAAACTATAAGTATGCAAAGCACTCTAAGTTTATGACTTGTTAAGCAACTGAGTGCTTTTATCACAAATGTTAGTATTCGCGTCAAAAGACGAGTGATAGCTTGAGGAAAAATATGTTGTATGGCTTTATAAAATAAAAAAAAAAGTCAAATGTTTCATGGCCTTTATTACTTGAGTAAGTATGTTCTTAGGGGTATCTCTTCACCTCATGCTCTAAAGCCAATTGGTTTGGAAGTCATTAATAGAAAACTCGTTATATGGGTAACTTGAAAAAGCCTAAGGGAACTTGACTCAAAAAGAAAATAATAATAATAATAAGTGCTAATGTGTGAAGGTCTAAATTTGAAAACTTCTCATTATGAAATTCCACACACACACACTACATGCTCATGAGCTAAATCTTTTGATAAGTGGTGTGAAGAATAGGATGGAGTATTTGAAGTTAAGGGAGTATATGAAATCTCTTGAATATTTGAGACTTTGTACCTAATTGAATTTTAATTCCTAAATTTGCTTTCCATGTATATCATGTAGTTGCATTCTTTCATTGGGATTTGGTGGGTAGATCCGTTGAAAACCCTCACGAAAGACAACTCATCTACTAGGGTGATGTAAGGGTTTAAAGGCTTATTGTACATATTAAATGTAATTGTGATTTCTACGAAAGTGAATTAGGTTTTATTATTATTATTTTTTATTTTGCTCGAGAACTAGCAAAACTTAAATTTAGGAAAATTTGATAAGAAGCATTTTTATATGGTTTAATCTATTATTTTAACCTTGATTTTATTATTATTCTCAAGAATAAGGTGATTTTCAATAGATTTTACATTGTTTTCATTTTTTGTGCATAAAAAGACTTGAATGCATAATAATAAGAGTTTTGGGATTAATTAAATATTTTTTAAAAGTTTAGGGACTGAATTGCAAGAAGAAAGGTGCTTTTTGGGACCTAAATGAATGAATCTTAAGTTACAGAATCAAAGTGCTCGTTTTGTAAAATCTGGAGGACCAGATCTGCATTTTACCATTGAAGAAATTGCAAGAGACCTGACATCGGTGTGGTGTCGACACATAATTCGGAGTGCCAGCACCATGTGTTATGTGTCCAAAATTGAAGTTTCTTATTCTGTCGTAAGTCCTACTTCTTTTCTATTAGGTTTTCTTAAACTCTATAAATAATACCCATTCAAAAATTTAGAGCTTTTGGGAGGAGACCAAGAGAGACCACTAAGAGGAATTCAACAACAAAAGAAAATCAAGGTCAAATTGATTTTACTTGTCTTTAAATTTTATTTTATGATATTGGATACTCGTATATTTATTATGGGATTATTGATTTTCTTTCCTTTTAATTATGAACTAAGTTAGCCAACTAAGGCTACAATGATTAATTTGATATAGAATTTCATGATTTTAATATTTTCAAGGTTTATTATTTTAAGTAAAGTATATATTATTGTTCTTAATGCTTTTTAATTATTGGCCACCATTAAAACTGATTTGGAAAGCATGACTGAGACTGAGAGAAGATTTTATGCAATAGCTTCTAGTAATATATACCATGAATTGAACGAAAGTCATAGATGGACCAGAGTGATTGGTGCAGCATCAGTGATAAGTAGACTTAATTTTTTATGCAAACTAAAGAATTTTACATATCATAATGCATCTTTATCTATTTAAATTCACTTAGGTTGTGTTTAGAAACATGTATTTGTATTTCGAATGTGTATTTAAAATACATGTATTTCAAAATACATTGTTTGGATAGAAATAAGAAAAATGATTTCCAAATACATGCCTTTTTAAATTCATTGTTTGGATATTTTAAAATACCATACATTTAAAATTGAATTTTTCATATTACATTAAATATTCTTCTTATCATTATTTAAATTTAATAAAACCAAAGTTAACAATTTTAGTCTTTCAAGGCATTATTTAAATTATCTCAAGGCAAACAAATTGGATGAAAAAAGAGAGAAAAAAAGAACAATGACTTCCACTAATTAATTTGTCTTCATGTTCTCCATTTTCTATTCATTTTTTTCCATTGGCATACAATATTCAATTTTTACAAAGATGGATTTATCATGAAAGAATTTCACCATGAAAAATAAACAAAGTAGCATCTAAAATGATTATCAACTATGTCCATTAACAAGGTAGTTGAGGTGACACTCCTTAATTGCAAAATGAAATAGAAATATAACATTCTTCTTTGAAGACCTTGAAGTAAACCATTGAGTTGAGGTTGAAAGTTAGGAAGGAATAGATCCTACATCATCAACAATAAACTAATCAAACAAACCAGCTAACAAAATCATCAACAACACTCACTAGATAGGATGATATCTAACCATTCATGTCAAACTCATATTTGTTGTTAAACCATTATTTTTCTGGGGAAAGAACATCCAAAAGAAGGAAACATAGTGAAACCAAGTATTCAAAGGCAAAACTAAAAGTGAAACCGAGTATGACAAGGAAAAGAACTTATAGCTAGAAAAGCATCCAAACCTTCCATAGTTGGAGGATCAACATTCTCCATGTCAATTGAAAAAAGGGCAATGACAAATCAACACCAAGACTCTCAGATGAACTATGTTCTACAATGATATGAACAACAGAGCTAGACAAGCATTTCCAAATGTCTTATATGTTTGATAGTATGATCACTGCAATTCAAAAACATTTACACCTTCTAACTACTTAACTTAAATGCTTAGGCCCATGGTTTCCACCCCCACTACTACCAGAATCACTCCTACTAGAAGAAGAATGATACCCAACATTTGTCACTTCCTTCTCCTTAATATCCTTTTGTCTAACCCTCATTCTATCCCTAACATCCTATGCACGATCCTATTCAATATCATGGCTACCATTCCTAGCTTGACTGTACTCGTTTGAATTAACAAGCTCCTTCCTTGATACAACACATTCCCAGTCCCTTAACTCATTATCACAACAACCACCATATTTCCCGGCCACCATATAGAAAACCCGAAACTCCAAAAACCCCAATCCGCCAATCGTAATACAAAAGCCCCCAGAAAATCTTTTTCTCGACAAACCCTTGAACCCCAAACAAAACTAGATTCCCTTTAATAATTTTTTTCTAATTTCAGAAAAAAAAATTGGAAAAAACCTAGGATAAACAATCAAAAACACAAAGAACCAAGAAATTGAGCAAGAAATCAATAAAACCACAACAATTTAAACTAGATCTTTGAATTTCGAGCAATTCAGCGCAAAAATTTGGAGATAGAATGGGTAACCCTAGCAATTAAAACACAAATTGAGGGAAACGCAAAACCTAAATCTTCTTGAAAGAGATTGAGTCAGTGATGAGAAGTATATGAATCTTGATGGAAATTGATTGGTGGAGACAATTGATTGAACGGAGCGTACCGATCGAAGGTAAGGCAGAAAAGGAGACCTTGAAATCAGAATCGGAACTAGAATCGAGTGGTTAGAGTGGCTGACGAGGTCAAAGAACGACAACAAAGTCGATGATGGACGGACAATGGAGGCTTCATCGCCATTAGTGAGAGCAGAGAATGTAGAGGAAATTCTTTTTGAAATTGAAATTCATGGGTTTGAGGATGAAATTGAAATACACGATTTTTATTCCTTAGAATTACCTGGGATGAAATACATGCATTTTAACTAAATTCAATTACCTTCTATTTTTGTAATAACAAACAATGATATTGACTTTAGAAGGTTAAAATTCAAATACACTGGTACGAATTTAGGTTCCCAAGCAGACCGTTAGAGATATAGTGAGTTAATAGATAAAGATAGACTTGGTATAACTTGAGAAAATATATTAAGTTGAATAGTAAATCATGCTGTTACATAAATAATAAAATACCTTGAAAATAGATTAATTTAAATTTTATACTGATTGATTATGGTGAAATCAAATACCTTAGAATTTTAACTCTTTGTGTTACTCAAAGTCAATTTAGTTTTTCTTTAATTTCTTATTTTAATTTTTTTAGTTAATTACATTATTCAAATTATTTAATTTCAATTGTTCAAATAAAATTAGAATTAGTTAACTTTAGTAGTTAATTAGACTACAATCTCTGTAGAACAATACTCTATTTTCATCATTATATTACTTGAATTGACTAGTTCCCTTGCTAAAGTGAGTTTAGGTCATCAGTATTAAAGCCCCTCTGACTAAGTAAAGAATTCAAATTCTAAATTTCAGTAAAAGCAATTTATATTCTTGGGTCCTCACCTAGAAATCTAAACTTTAAGGTTAAGCAATCTTGACGTTATTTGGTCAGAGTTAAAGAATAAAGGGCCAAACAAAGTTCTTTACAAAAACCAAGACCATAGAGTAACTCCTTTCTGTTTGAGGAAGATACTAAGAAACGGAAGCACATAAACAAAGATGGATTTTAATTTTTAGCAGTAAATATTAGTATTACATCAAAAAGCTTGAAAGCTCTGCTATCATGTGAACATGAAAATTTTGGTCCTAAGGGGGCTGAGGCACGAATTAGAATTTTTAATCTACGTAATTAAGACTTGGAGCATACCAACCTAAATAGTCCACGATCTTCTTCATTCTCTCTTGTTGCCCTTTTGAATCCCCTATTGCTGTTGTGAAGGGATAAACATAAGTTACTTTTGTGGCCATAGCCCTGTAAGTAACTGCATCTCCTTTAACCATAAACTCAAGCACATCCTGCCCAAACCCTCCATCAACCTCAGCTTGTAGATATTGTCCTGATTTCATTTCAAACTTCAAATTATCAATAATATCTTATGAAAAAAAATTACTCAACAATCCACATTTTTCCATTCAAGTAGAGCATCAGGTTGGCCTAACTTCTAGAACAACTTCTCTAAAAGTGCTTCTTTACTGCTTTTAGCTTCTAGAGGACTAGAACCTGATGGTACACTTACAAATTTCTTAAGGAGAGCTTTTACTTGTAGAACCTGATGGTACACTTACAAATTTCTTAAGGAGAGCTTTTACTTGTAGACTCGAGTTTAATTAAAATTTATCAACTTTTAAATTTGTTATCCATATGATACGATTGTATAATGAAGCAAATTCAGAATATCTCTACAAAAATAACATTTTTACAAAAGCTTCAGTGAAGCCGAACCAGCCAATAACACACAATAAAGATGAACATAGATAACATTTAAAATTTATCTCCTTTTCTTTTTATTGTAGGAAACTCAGTTCACCTACCATTTGGGGTACCTTCAACCACTTGAATCTTGGCATTCTTCTGTGTTTCCAGGATTGCTTCTTGCAATCTCTAAATGAATCTCAAAACAAATTAGCAAGTTTCAATATCATCATATTTGGATAGATTAACCAATTATTGCTATACCTGAACTGCATTCCCTATAGCATTCTCAGGAATCGTCCATGGGAAAGCATAAGATGATGATTTCGCATTTGTAGACACACAACCGGGATTGGTTGATGGGCAAGGCCTAATTTTCCTACAAGAACATAGCACAGAATAAACTCCTAGACAAAACCCATAAGACTAAAAGGAACAAAGCCCATTTGAGAAGAAGAGATTCAGTATCAGTACAATACCCATCTTCAAGCCCAGTCTGCAAGAACTTGGATTCAGAGAAAGGAGTGGTGGTGAAAGGGAGCTGCTTAGAATTGAGAGAAGGGATGGCGGAGGAAGGTAGTGGAGCGTTTAAGGATACGGTGAGGGCTAAAGACACTACAAACCTGGATAGGAGAATGGGTTTTGGGTTGGAATTTTGTGGGATTTGAATGTGAGGAGGAAAGGTTGAAAATGGTTTGGAGAGTGGAGGAGGAAGATGACCAAACAGGCTCATGGTTGTCAATTCTCTTATCCATTCTCCCCTGCAGTCAGCACTTTACCATTTCAGAATTTGCAGAAACTAGCATATAAGGACACTAACTTCAAGATAAAATGCAATTAAGTACACAATGTTTCATAGGAGGATGGAGGCTTTTTTTTTTTAATCTTGAGTTATACAATTGGAAGCAATCTTTTCTTATCTCCTAACCCACTCAATTTATATGTCACGCAATTCAAAATCAAGACCTTTTCTAAAAAAAAGAGGTTATTACCGAACTACTTAAATCATCAACAGAAGGACAGAGGCATTTAACATCTATCCATTCGGTTTAACATTTTAGACATTCGTAGTTTGAAACAATGTCACATATACAAGTACCTTGTCTTGTGCTTTAAACAATTAAGCATGAAATGAATCAGATTAAGTTGTCATGTATAAGGACTGGTTATGGCCACTTGGCCAAAATTTATCTTCTCTTTTTTTACAATATATTACTTTATTTTTTTGTTAAATAGCTAATTATGATGTATGAAATATTTATTTTTAAACTAATTTTGATTTATTAAATAATTAATATTAACTATTTTATCAATTATTAATGACTCTTAAAAATCAAACTAAAATAAAAATTGAACAAATTGTGTGGCCACAATAGCTGCTTTTAGGAGTTTGCAGCAAGGTAGTTGATACCATTTCATGTTGACTGTACCAATTGATATAGTTGGTACATACCAATTTTTCTTTTAATTCAAAGCGATACAAGTTTCAATTCAACTTCGGTCAAATTTTAGATATTTTGGTCAATTTTTGATGTACTGGTTGATATTTTAAGTACGGTTAAACCTCCAATTTGGTCCTCCAACTATTGTATGAAACCTTAATTTGGTTCTTAAACTAAAAAAATCCTTAATTTGATCTCTACTATTTATCAATTTGGCCACAAGTTATTTTTTCTATTAAAAAACAGCTAGCATGTCCATTACTTAATTACAAAAAACCGTTACTTAATTGTCACATGTCACATTAATAATGAGATACATCATCTGTTTTTGTACAGAGAGATCAACTTGGGATCAAATTAGAAAATAGTAGGGACCAAATTAGGGATTTTTTTAGTTTATGAGCCAAATTGGGGGTTAAACCTTTTAAGTTGACCCGAAATTAAATCACTACAAAACAATTCAAATTGGGCTAAAGCCAACTGTCGTCCCTCTACTTTGTTAAAAAATTCAATTTAACCCTTCTACTATGGAATCACCTCAGGTCATCCCTCTACTTCATTTTGAGCTCACATGTCCTTCCTCTACTATTCAAAAAGTGATCAATTTCGTCCCTCCACCCATTCCATGGCTAACACCATCACTTTAGCCATTAAAGCCTAACGGTTTGGCATTTAATATATATTTCTATATTATTCTTTTCTCCACTTTGGCTATAATATAGGACCCATCAATGCCCCATCATACTCCATATTAATATCTTTTTCCTCATTTTTTTTTTCATAAAACAGATTCCTTGTGTTTTCGTATATAGGATAATTTTTATTTTTACCTATGTTATTTTAAAAATAATTTTTTAAATTGTGTCTTAATGGTATATTTTCATTATAAATATATAAACAAAAATAGAAAAACTAACATTAATTTTAGTATTAGTGTCAAGTAGATGAATTTAATTAGATAATTGAAAAATTGAAAAATTAAATTTCAATTTTTATTTTTGAGTATAAATTAATGACAAAATATAGATTTATTATTTTTTAGGACACAAGTTAGAAAAAAACCCTTTCAAAAAAATAAAAACAATTATAATAAGATAAATAATTAAAATCAGGAAATAATAATAAGATTAAACTATAAAAAATATACTTTTCTTTCTTAAACTATGAACATGATTATTATTTTAAGATAAATTCAAAAAATATTTGTCTACTAAAATAAATAAATAAAAGTTAACATATATAAAATAAAGCACTACATCCTTGATTAGTACCATTTAGTACCTTTTGTGTTTCTATTCTAACTTAAGTCATATATTCTTTTATGTCTATGTATTATTTTTTGGATATTTGTAGTTAAGGTGTTTCCAAATTAACTTTCTTTGCATCTTGAGATTAATCTTTATCTGGACTATTTTAAAAACACACTTCTCATATCGAACTAGTGTATTCAAAAAAACTTATGCTTATATATTATTTTTGAATTCAAGTATAAGGTTTGCAATAAGTTCAATTATATTTTAATTTGTATTAAAAGATTATAATATTCAACAAATATATAAGTATATCTGCAAGTATTCAACGAGTTGAAGATAAGAATAAACTTTTAATAGCCGAGTCAATATTGAGTATCAAAATTTTATATCTATTAATTTTCAAATTAAGTAGAAATATAGACAAATATTTCACCCATGTACTGTTGACTCAATGTACTCCAAGAGGGGGGTTGAATTGGAGTTCCAAAAATTCTCCCATTTTGCAACCACGACACCAAAATTAAAGAGAGTAGAGAAGAAGAGCTTGCTCAATGATTTTATTGAGGTTCGGTCCAACCACTTGGAGTTTAGTCCTCTACCTTGGCTTCACTCACCAAGGATTTCCTCCACACTCTCCACTAAGAAAATCAAAGGTGGCTTAAAAGAGCCACTCAATCCTTTTACAAGAAGAATGGTTTTTTTCTTAAATCTCACCCCTTTACAAGATAAACCCTAAGAATCCTCTTTATATATCACTCTTGAAGGATTAATCACACCCCTAAGATCACTCACAAATAGAACAAGAAGAGGATTACAAGTAAAGATCTTTCAAAGATCAAAAACTCAAGTTAAAGCTCATGTAGGTAGGTAAAGATATTCAATGCAATGCTCTCTAAAACATGCTCCAGATCTTCTACCAACTATATTTATAACCTCATGGTCGAAAACAGTCGTTACTAGTCGTTGGGGGTCATTTAATGCTCTGCAGGATACATGGTTCGAGTTGCAGAACTATCAGTACAACCGACTTAAGCTTCAAGAGCCGGGCTCTATACAACCAGCTTACCATTTCTACAGCCGACTTTGCGGCATCCTACACATTCTGTTTTCTTCGTAGAACCGGCTGCAAAACACAAAGCCAGCTTAGCGGGTTTGCTGCACATTCTGTTTTCTTGGACAATCGGCTGCAAAAAGGTAAAGCCAACTTTGGTATTCTGACTTCAAAAATATTAATTATTCTTCAAATAAGTTGATTGTTGTGCATTAAATGCACTCTTACAACCATCTACAAAGTTGGAGCCAGCTTTGCGTCTTTTCTCCGCGCATGCCAAACAATGGTCTTCAAATTTTTGCCCGTAGAGCCAGTTGCAGCTTTCAAAGCTGGCTCTCTGCACTTCCATTTCACCAAAGCCGACTACAACTTTTAAGAGCCGGCTCTCTGCACATATTCAAGCCTTTCTGGTCCATTTTAAGTGCAATCCAAGTTTACTTATTTTGTAATCTTTTGACATTTTAACTACACACTTAAATAAACCAATTAGTCACTCAAATATGTTTTGTAATCATCAAAATCATAGGTACAACATGTACATGTTTAGCCCACCTATATACATGAATAGAATAGAAAATTCTGAACTCACCTTAAACCACCTAAAACTTATAGTTAAAGGGATAGTAATAGGCAATAGGAATTTTTTTTTCTAGTTATAATTTTTTTGGACCTTAATGAAATTAAAATTTTATTTATCTATTTCTTAAAAAAAATTAAATTTACTTGGTTACCTATCATAGTTTTAAAAAATATCCCTTTGATTGACTCAACTAAAAAGTTGATAAAAAAAAGATAAATAAATGTGGCTAATAATTGAAAAAAAAAAAGAATTGATAAAATATTCATGTAGAAAGATATCAATCTGTAGTATGATGTGGCACTGGTGGGTCCTATTATAGCCAAATTGGAGAAATGAATAACATAGAAATATATGTTAAACGCAAACCATTAGGCTTTAACAGTTAAAAGTGCCGGTGTTAGCCATGGAATGGATGGAGGGACAAAATTGATCGCTTTTTGAATAGTAGAGTGAGGACATGTGAGCTTAAAATGAAGTAGAGGGATGAGCTGCGGTGATTCAATAGTAGAAGGGTTAAATTAAACTTTTTTACAAAGTATAGGGATGACAGTTGGCTTTAACCCATTCAAATTTGAAAAAAAAAAAAAAAATCCCCAAGCGAAAGGACATCGTTTTGGCTAGTGGGGCTAAAATCTCCAACAGAAACCCTTTTGACAATTTTAGATTTAGACTTCCAGTTCTCCTCAGTGCTCGCTAGTTGCTGCTCTCTCTTCCAACTCTATTTCTTCCACTTTCTAAACAATAATAACGGAGATATGGGTTGGTTTTATATAACATATCATATTTTGGTAAGTTTTATTTATTTATTTATTTTAATATTTTGCATTTTCAAAGTTTATTTAATGGTAAAACCTAATTTTAATTCTAGTGAGTTTATATGCATTTGTTGATATTTTTGAATTTTTCTCCATCAATCTCCAAGCTCTTTTGCAGATTGAAATTATCAACAATTACCATCATCATCTGTAAACCTGGTCAATGGTCATCAATAACAACCAGTTACAGGTTTTAACCCAATCATGGAGCAGGACCAATTATATGCATATCCTGCTAAATATATATTTTTGGTGATAACAAAGAGCTAGAATCTAGGATCTTCGAATCGTAAGAGATGCCACTTTTTCCCTTCACTAACCTTACAAAAATTAAACTCAAAACACTGTTATACTTCTTAATATTATCTTAATATTTTTAAAAAAAATTATGAATGTTTTATAAAATTAGTTATTTTAAAATTATTTTTAATTTATAAAAATATAATTGTTTTTAATGTTAGTTTCTTTTATCATTATTTTAAAATTTTAATATTTAATTTATAAAAATAAATAATTATAACGATAAATCTAAAATGATATGTTAAAAATTCTAATATCTAATATATACTGTACATATGCCAGTACAGAATTGACTTCCTTGGTTTGAAGCCAACAGCTGATTCTACTAAAGCAAAGTGGCCGGCAAAAAGTCGTATAATTTTGAAGCTAGTGCCGACCATGTTGTGTGGTGCGTCTAGCTACCTGGTATGGTGATGTTGGATGATTGCTTTTAGCTATTAACTGAAATCCAGCGTGGATGCTGGAGAGGCATGCCAGCGTATTTTGTTGAGAAAGTTCAACAAGATAGAATCAAGCAAATCTTGATATTAATATATATATATATATATATATATATATATATTGTCTTTGAGTAGGCAAATATTATAATTTCAATTGTCAAAATGCAGAAAAGGTTTGGATTGGAAGAAGCCCCTAAATGTGAGGACCTCCCCAATCCAGCGGTCATCCTGGAATCCAAACTGCAAAAAATGTGCCTCAAATCTCAATTCCTTCCTCCACCTTCTATCTCCATGTTTCAATTGTGAGTCCACATTAATGGCCTAATACAAAATCCTAAGTTACAATCTATCTTAACCATACTTTCCCTAAGCTAAGAGGATTGCATCACGAGGATACGGTGACAACATGGATTCACCGAGCATTATATTGCTAACAGGAATATGATAATAAACAACAAAAACCATCAAATGACATTTTTCTGTTTTGTTAGGTAGTCATCAATTTGCTTATCAAGTTTCATTTACCTAGAATAAGAGCAGATGGATAGAAATAAGTAAGCAGGGGAGTTGGGCAGCTAATGAAACTAAGATTATCAAGCTAAGAAAACCGTATAGAGTAATTGAGTTTCCCATCTCACATATAAACCCAACTTGAGCTCAATAAGATGACCTAAGATTCAACTATTAAGCTCGAACTCAAATTAAGTAATTACGAGTTACTTGACTCCCAATCCTAGACATGCAAACACGATAGACTACAGGAGAAAAGCATATTACATACCATCTAAACAGTCGGTAAAAAAATAATTAAAAGATAAATAAAAATAAAAAGTCTGTGATAAAGAGAGATACATAAATGAGAAAGGTGAACTTCGTAAAAATATGATTAAAACTAAAAGACACAAGAACTGTTGTAACAGCTACCTTTGGCAGCTTTTCCAAAACCTCAGCTGATTGTGAATGTCCAATGGCTAAGTAAAAATTTTAACCAAACACTTTAAGCTTAGCTGTTGGGGCTGAGCAAATACCAGCTCCTCTGAACAGCTGAAACAAGCACTCTCTAGGAGAGAGATTATGCTCGATATATCACCCATGAAAGGATAAATGTCTTAACAATTTTAATTTCCAGCTTTCCTCATGTATGCTAGTAGGCCAAACCCAGCAACTACTGCAGCCCCTGCAGCAACAGCTTTGTATGCAGCAGACCATGCATGTGATTGAGCATAATCCAAACTTCCTGAACCATAACCCCTCCTACGACCAGGTGTTCCTAAATAATCTAAATGCAATCTCAAACCCTGCAAAAAGAATCTCATAGATTCACATCTGATTGAGATGCCAAATCACTAATAGAAGAATTGGTTTTCCAAATCTTAAAGCTACTAGTAACTGGTGATTGTTCTTGCAACAAAGGCCTGCATGAGGATTAATACAAGGAAAAATATTTCTATGGAAGTAGTCTTCCTATGCTAATGATGAAAAGTAAAGGGAAACACATTTAGCACTACCAACAGTCATTGCATACCTTCCAACCAATCAATCTTGCATGATCCACAGCTGCTGTGAGATCGCTATCTGATGCCAGTACAACTTTATCATGTTCATCATCTTCATACTACAGAATACAGTCCACTAATTAGCATAAAATTAGGAGTAAGGCAAAATTAAGACCAAAGAACTGATAGTGAAATATTATTTCCCATCTAAATATACCAGAATCTGAGGCAGGTTGTTGGGATCAATCTCATCCCCCATCCTTTTAAGAATTGAAGTAATTAAATCTGTCAAACTCCGGGTATCTGCATCCAGAATCAGCAAGCATAAAAACCAGTAAACTAAAGTTGCTGAACCCATTAACATGTCAAGATGCAAAAACCATTAATGAATAGGTGACAGTATGTTCAGAACTTGGACAAAAAGAAGAGTCAGTTTGCCTATCAAGTCACTTAGGATATGAAATCCTGATATTGTCATCTAAGTTAACTTGCCCATGATTGGTTTTGGGCATGCCAATCACACCCAGCAGCTTTAGGTGCACTGTATGCATGCAATATAGACACATTTTTCTGGTGCCTAACAGAGAAGGAACTCATTGCCTACCACAAATAAATCTATGCATTCTCCCCTTTCTATCTTGGATTTTGAAAGCAAATGTATTTAGCAAACTGGATGAAGAAAAGGCAAGAGATCTCCCTGTCTCTGCTCCCTCTGAAGCCAACTTCAAGGAATTTTCACTGAAATGAAACCACATCAGTAAATATTGGTGATAGATATCACAACCATCTTATTGCAGTAACATCAGATCATTAAACCTTCTTGTCTCGTCATCATCTTCATGAGAACCCAAGGCCATTGCAGAATCCCAAAACTTCTGCATCATTGTGCCAGCAGCCTCATTATTTATTCCAGCAGTACCCCCAACCTGGTCATTGAAAAAAATGATGAGACCATGAGAAAAAGGTCACAAAGAAATGAGAGTTCTTATTCTTCCTAGAAAGATATTCATCTTCTGACACCTTAAAACCAAACTGTAGAGCAGAAGGTTAGCTATTTATATGTTTTCTACATACTGAAAGACATTAGCAAATGCCAAGCAATTAAATTTAGGCTTCATTTGTTAGTGTTATGCTAATATGCTGTGCAGTAGCCATAGGTTTTAATCTCTTTTACAATCCAAAACATATATAAAATATTAAATAAAATTAGTGAAAGTATAAAAATTAATTAGGAATAATAAATCTACATTTTTAGACAAGGTTGTGTGAAAAAGGTCTATGTGAAGCATGATCAAACGAAGCCTTAAGCTTGTCATCAGATTAGCTACTATGCTATGTTCTAAGTTAGCAGCATGATTAACATGAGAATGCAAACCTTAGGTAATTAACAATAATAAAAGAATATCATCCCAGTTTCTACCCATGCACATCAGATGGAAGGATTAAGAAAAAAGAAGAAAGGTAAAAAAATTTCCTCCCATGATATGCAGATCATTTATTTTGTTAAGAGGTGGTTGCCACATTAACTTTATATGACTATTGTCCATTGGAAAAAGATAAGAAATAAAATTAAAGCACCATGCATTTGAAGCTGATTTAGAGTGATAGAAATGAAGGTCTACATTTGAAGCTTTAAACAAAAAGCTTATGCAGGTAGATTTTTGAGTACAATGAAATTTTATGAACTTCCAAAACCATACATGACCACTCTACATAATTTCCCGTTGCAGCACTTCTTCAGAATATCGACTCAAAAAGTACTTCACAAAAGCTTTTGCCAAGCCCAATGGACTTTACTATTTTAATTATTCAATTTGACACATAATTCCTAATAAATATAACTAAATAGACAAAACATGCAACACTTCAATTTCATACTCCAAAGCATCAGAGGTAATAGGAAAATGAATAGGAAAAGCAACATAAAGCTATCTTTATAAAGCAGGAACAAGGTGTGGGAAAGGAGAGAAAAAATAGATACTGCCATTGCCATTGCATTGCATGGAACATCCTATCACAGCAGTAGAAAAAATAACAATTGAAAGATCAGCAAATGTTGTTAATTTCATAACAGCAGGACAAATTAATTTTTTTTACAAATCAAGCCAATTACTGACTACAAAATTAGAATCTTCTATTCAATGCTAATTTAAATTTTACAGTACATCCTGCATGACACATATCTGTTAAATTATTATGCATCATGTTTTCCTAAAGGAGCCAAATACTGAAAGAATAATTTCTAATAGATGCCACAGGCCTGTTATCCAACACTATAATTAATCATTCAGTCCGACAATGCAGAAGAATTGACTTACTGTGGCAATGGCAGCGTGAGTGATATGGATTACATCAATAACAGCTGCAATATCTCCATCTGTACCAAATGGTGGATGCTTGTCAAGAACTAGGATATTGCCCAAAAGAATTTTTACTTGTAGACAATAATAAATCATATTACCTTTATCTACTACAGGTAAGTGCAAAAATTTTCCATCATGCATGATATGCAGAGCATCAACAATTGGCATGTCAATTGTTGCACATTCTGGGTTAGGAGTCATAACCTGTGCACCAAATTATTTATAAAGACATCAAGCATTTTTTCTTCTATTTACTGGAGGTGCAAAATAATGTGTTCATCTACATGAGCACCTACTAAAACTTCTATCAAGTACTAAGGATCATATTCTAATTTCAAAGTTTTAGTAATTAAAGAATACAAATCTGAATGAGACAAATACCTTCTCCATAAGAGTTGATTCTGGAGGAAGATTTTGTGCTACTACGCGCATCAAGATATCCTTTGAACTGGCCAAAATCCAAAGGCAAAATTAAAATTTACACAAATATGTTTATAACAAAAAGAGTAGCAGTGTCACCACCCTCCCTCCCTCAACAGTGGCACAATTAACTCACGTTAGAATTCCTCGTGGTTTGTTTTCAACTGTTACAACTGCACAGCTTACTTTTGATTCAAGCATCTTCTTTGTCACTGATAGCACTGTCTCAGTTGGTGAAACTCTTACAACCCTAAAAGTAGCCACAATATTAAACAAAGGAAATTGGACAAATAGCACAACTGAAAATGTTGGCAACAGTGGTCTCATAGAGGACCAAACAGATATAAGAAGAAAGTAATACCTACTTTGAATTGTCTTCAATAATTGTTAACAGTGAGGGCCTAAACATTCGCTCCCAAAGAGTCTGGATGAATGTATTCTGACCTGCATATCAACCCAAAAGGTAGCAAAAATAAGATTTTTTTTTTTTTTTTAACCTTTTAAGGGAAAACAAATAAACACAATAAAGATGGTAAAAATAAGAGAGAAGTATAGAAGACAATTGCACAAGCATATTGAAAGTTCAGCTGAATTATAAAATCTACCAACCAGAGAGAGGTGTTCCCCAATTTTTTTCAACACCTTCAACAGCAGCAACAATAGCCTTTCCCTTTTCAGCTGCCCTTTCCATTCGAGCAATAGCATCATACAAACACTTTGCTATATCAAGTAAAGCAACAACCTCCCCATTCTCCACAACAGGCAAATGTCTAAATTTTCCTGTTTAGAATGATATCAGAATCATATTCAAGCAGAAAAATAGGCAAAACCCCAAATCCACCCCATAAATAGGTTGGCAGGGACAGATCCACCCCTCAAAAAAATGCAAGGACAAATTGCCCCTCCAAATTATAAATCAAAACAAATCACCCATTTTTTAGCGAAAAACATCAGAATTCTGTTTGCTACGTCAGCATCTTTTAATGGAAAACATTAACAAATGGGTGATTTGTCTTGATTTATAATTTGGAGGGGCAATTTGTCCCTGCATTTTTTTGAGGGGTGGATTTGTCCCTGCCAATCTATTTGAGGGGTGGATTTGGGGGTTCTGCTGCAGAAAATACAAGAACATATATCACATAGAAATGTGGATGGCCTTGACAAATTAGGATCAACCTTGTACCATCTTCTGGAGGGCTTCCACCGCTAGAGTATCAGAGAGAACAAACACAGGGTTCCTGGTCATAACTTTAGAAACAGGTGTTTCCTCCAAATTAAGCTCACATGCGATGACTCTTGTTGCTATGTCCTGAAAACATTGGAGGTAATAAATATGTAAACAACATTATGCTACAATCCAAACATAAACTGTTTCTCCTTCATCCTCTTCTTTAATAGTTATTATTTTATTACCTGGCAACGTATGGCCTTTTAATAGAGTACATACAAGAGAAGGCACTGAGAAAATATACAGCCACACCCCAACTAGTCAAGCATTAAACTAAAAATTGAATCTGATCAAAGAATCGTTGGTGAATTTTCCATACCTTGTCCGTAAGGATCCCACAAAGCAATGCATTAGAGTCAGTAAGCAATAATGCATCAACTCTACGAGCAGCCATCCTTTGGCAAGCCTCAAAAATACTTGTCTGTTCAGGTATGGTCAAGGCCTTTGACAGCCGCAATCTTTTCACAGTACGCTCTCCAGTTAATCCCCTGCTCCACATTCAAGTTGGACAAAAAATCTTATATCTACTAATTTAGAAAGAAGAATCTAAAGTAATATACTTCTAAGATATGTTTGTGCATTTTTTCAAGGTCTTAAAAGTATGTTACATAACACTTCTATTTATTATCTAGACCCAAAAGATTTTGGAGGTCAGTCTCACGAAAGTTCACATGTTTAAAACTGAAGGAAAGAAGGTCCATGTTTGAATAAGTATACACAACTGGCTGCCTAACGAAAGAAACCAACCATGAAACAACTCCAACATTTTTATCTCCCACCAGACATGGATTTCTACAGAGCTGGTCCTTGCATTGTCTATGAGAGTAACTAGAAGAAACACACAACGGCCACACAAACAGCCAAGTCATAAAAACATTAAAAAGCCAATGCTTCCTCTGACTTTAAGATAATGATAGCTAGCTCTAGCATCTATTTAGGTGCACCAGGGTAACATTCATTCATCTTGTTCTGCTAACCCGAACTTGCAAAAATAGTTGACATAGGATAAACATTTCCGACAAGATGGTTTTCTACAAGAAAGAACTGGAAACCAATACAAAGACGTATCTTTGTTAATCCACTCAGTTTTTCCTTTTCCTAAACCAAGACATTATACCTTACATGCATGTCTTAAAAATTAGTGTAAACAACTCACAGTCACTATCCAATACATAAGCCCTGCATGCTGTATTGAAAACTTCCAAAGGCAGGTGATGAGGCATAATAATAAAAAGTTCAGGTATATTAGATTCTTTCCATCTTCCTTTTTACAACCATAATTCTTCAAATCAAATCAACCGACAGGAATTTACAATTCGCAAAAAATGGGGAAGACAAGAAACCAGAAACCGAAAAGAAAAAGAAATAAAAAAAAAAAAACCAACGAAATTGAATGAAAGCCCAAACTTACATAGGACGGGAAGCCGTTAAGGATTTCCGGACAGAGTCTGAGCCTCCATTCTCAGAAGAAGAAGATTTCTTCTTCGCAACTGATGAGTTTGACAAAGACAGGCTTTTCCTTGAAAAACCACCCTGACTAGCCATCTTCACGTTGAACCAATCCAACACACAGAATCCTGTATTAGCATCAATCAAATCACAGTAAATCATCACATCAAAAACAACCGAGAAGAATAAATAACAAATTACCAAAGAATGGGAAACTCTGCAACAAAGAAGCGAAATTTCTTTGAATTCTATTTCAAAGGCGGGAGATTTCAATCAAACTGCCACAACCTGCAAAAATTACAGCTCCATGAAAGATGCAGGATTGACGAACGGAGAAGATAATAAATCAGACGACGTGAAGAATATCTCTGACTCCACGAGCTGTTTTGAGATTTAAGATTATTATATGAGAAAAGTGGAACAATCGCGATCGGAAATCCCGTCGGGAAGTTGGATTTTCCCGGAAAATACACCGACCGGATGGAGAGGGTGGAAAGGAGCAGAAATGAAAAAACCCTAAGAAATAGGAAGGGCGAAATTTCAGGGTGGGAGGACCAATACGATCGCGGCACGTCGACGATTTCAACAGAAACAAATTTCAGGGGGATCTTGTGAGGATCCCGTTTCCTACGGGCGGGTTCAATTTTAGGATAGAAAATTGAAAGGAGGTGATATAAAAATAAATTTTTTATATTAATTTTTATATAATTTTTATATGTTATTAAATGAATTAATATATTTAATATTATAAGTATTATATGAATTAAAAAAAATTAATTATTTAAATAATACATTAAATTATAACAAAATAAAATAAAAAAACAATATACAAGTCATTTTTTAAATTTTAATTACTTTTTATCTTATAAAAGAAATTAAAAAATAAATAAATGAATAAGAGTAGGAAAGAAATCTTGAACCGTGTCAAACAAAATCAAACTAGGTAACTCGAATCCGAACTTGACAAACGGTTGGTCAAAAGGACATGCATGAACCTCACCGTGGCCGGCGGCAATGTACTAATCACCGAAATTGATTTGATTAATTACAGGGAGGAGAAAGATGGGTAATGATATTTGGGTCGAAGAAGGGGTCGAATGACGTGGCTTACCACGTTGTTCACTTACATGGTTTTTCTTAAAAAAAAAAATTAGAAAGAATTTAATCGGGTCTAATTCCTTCTAAATTGTTTTTGTCCCTTCCTTCCCGCGTTCCCTAGCAGCCGTCATATACCGATTCCTTCCCTTCACTTCCTTCACTTCATCAACTAGTCCGCCGTCATATACCGATTCCTCCCCTTCACCTCCTTCACTTCATCAACTAGTCCACTAGTGAATAGGTAAGTTCTGCTCACTGTTTTTTTTTCTTTTTTGAGCCAGCAGTTCTGATCACTTGAGTATATTGCTTTTTGTAAGTGATTAGATTCTTGTTTGAAATAAATTGAACTTGAATTACTTAGTGTCATAACTCAAATTTTTATCAAATATATATATATAAAAATCAAAAATATAAAAATATGTAAATTTCTCTTTTCTTCAACTAATATATCTTTATTTTGTTTTAGGTGCTACTGCTACATGCAAAAAGAAATTCAAGAAGATATTGGAAAATTCAAGAACAAATGGAAAAGAAACTCAAGAAAGGGGATTTTTGCGAAGAAAATTGAAAAAGGGAAATGAAGGAAACTAAGATGGGAGACTTAATTGAAGAGATGAAAAGTTGAAGGAAAAGTTTAACCAAAAGCCCATTTACACCTTAAACCCATCTTAAATGGCCCAACTCCATAAAAATCAGCCCAAATCCAACCAAAACCCACTAAATTATCCAAACCCAAAAAAAGACATAAAAACAAAGAAAAAAGGGGAGGAAGGCATCTCGAACCTCCCCTTTCCTCTTCCATCTTTACTTTCCTCTCTCCCAAACCGGCTTCCTCCCCAAACCAGCCGGCGCCCCCCGTCTACCATCACTGGCAATCATGCTCCTACACTCCACCTCTTGCACGCCTACGCACCCTACCCCCTACGCGCCTGTACCCTTCTCTACACCCAACCTTGCTCTACACTCTCCCCTCTGCGCGCCTAATCCTGCAATCATACCCCTGCACACCCGAGCCATCATACAACCCTACGCCCCCCTCGCACGCCCGGCCTTGCTTTGCCCTGCCCTCTGCCACGCCTGTGCCCCTGCTGTTGCACCACGCTCATGCCCTTGTCGCCTGCGCTCCTGCTGCTGCACCGCGCCTGCGCCTCCTGCACTCTGTGCTCCAATCCCGCCCCTCTGCTGCATCGAGCCTACAGCCATGCCCCTGCCTCACCTACAAAAAAAACCACCACATACCAGACAAAATTGGCATCATTAGTGCTTGACGGAGCAAGGCTTTTTCATTTTTATTTTATTTTGTTGTTTGGGTGTATATATAGAGAGCAAAAAGCAGAGTAGAGAGAGGTCTTTTGGGGGTCAGTAATTGATTTTCGGAGTTGATTTGAAGTCTTTGTTTGGGTTTTCTTTGACAGCAGTAAACGGAAATTCCGAGAAGATGAGAGGTTTAGTTGAGAGGAGAAAAGGGGAGATTATTGGCCGGCAAGGAAGGGAGATTTTTCTTTGAAAGGCGACTGCGATTGACATTTTTTTTTTTTTTTTTTTCTGCCTCAGGTAAATTTCTGAACAGAGGAGTTTTCTGAAAATGGTGGTGAAGGGAACAATGGGAGCCTAGTCCCATCAGATCTGGATATATTTTTCCTTAGCAAACTCTACCGTGGGTGTGTTCTTTGTTTGCTGATTGTTTTTTGTATTTTTCATTCAATGTTCAAGCTTGTATGTGCTTACTAAGAAATGAATGAGAAATCAAAGATTGTGCAGTTCGTTTTGTCTGATGAATGTGGTCTTTCCTTGCTCTTAGTAAAAATGTGATTTTTTTCT